TGCCTATAGTTTAGGGGAAAAATCCCCATGTTTAAATTCCTTCAGAGTATTTCACATCAGTTATTAGTCACACAGAACGGGAGGTGCCATCCCAGGGCCCTGAATTCAGTACACAGTTACAGCAAGCACAGTACCAAAGAATCCCCTCCACAAACTTGTGTTCCAAGAGCGTCTGTACAGCTGCTAAAGAAATCATCCTGTGCATGCTGTAAGTTACTGTTTACTGCTCAGTGGAACCTAGCCAAATCTCAAGATAAGCAGTTGGATTTGGGCTAAAATCCAACCTTGAGATATAAATGTTCCAAATTCTTTGCATTAGAAGCTGTGTGATTTTAATGGAACCAGTCACAAAGCCTTTTATTCATCACTGGTGTAGGTTTTTGTAAAAGGCAATTTTAGGTTGGTAATAAGGGTTGAACAACATACTTTCAATCAGAAGAGGGATGTATTATATTTACACATACAGGAATGGAATGAGAGGCCTGATTAAAGATGTGCAATGCTCTCTGCTCACACAACTTCATGTAACAAACATCCTATGTTTCAAATGTAATCTTCTGCACCTAAAGATAACCATGTGGAAAAACTCAGTAGATAACTGCAGGTCTCTGATGTGCTGCTTGTGGCTTCCCTGCTCAGGGAAGCTCTGAAAAGTTTGGGGTTTATTATCATTTAAGCAAGCAGTTCTTCCTCTTGGTAACTGATTTATATGAAATAAATTGTAAGCCAGAGACAGGTGTTGGTTGAACAACTGATGCAGACTAAAACCAACATGACTAAGTGAACCCTCCCAAACGTCCTGATCCAATCCATCAGTGCAGTTCGTGTTAGCTGCACAAACAGCAGAGCTAGCGCAAAGCACCCACTGCAAGCAGGGAACAGTGAAAGGCTGGGAGCCTTTGATCAGCAAAACAGGAGCTTGGGCACAACAGGCACGTGCACAGGTTTAAAACCCTCCTGTGACTCATGAGTACCTCCAGGTGATGGAGAGTGTCCTCGGACTCCTTACCTGGATGCTGAGGAGTTTCTGGTTTTGCCCATTACAATTGCCACTTTGCAGTTTGGGTTCCCAGCACCTTAAAACAAATCACAAACACAAAGCCAGTTTTCAGGATAAAAATCTCTACGTAGACTCAAGTGAAGTTTCATACAAATACATCCGACTCCTTTCCTTGCGTGCTACAGGAGCAAAACCACGCAATCTACTTTGGTGTTTATACTCTGAGTAATCAGACTGAAACAAAATACATCTTATTGCTTAACACATGAAAGGGAGTTAACTTGTGGGAAGGGGAACAGTGAAAAGCCGAACATGCAAACCCTCCAGGATCCAGCTCCATCACCTATTCCTATGAAAAGAGAACAAGAAGGTACTTGAAATGAAGACTAATTACTTCAGTCTCCATTACAGATAAGCAAGTCAGCGTGATACAAAAGCACACCTCAAGGTGAGATGCAGCCATTTCAAAAGTAAAACTTCCTCCTAAAGCTCTAAAGACTGGAGGATCTGTGTGGGAATAAAATGCTGACCACATTAGAACCAAATCATGTAAATCAGGCTATCAAAGGGTTGCCATGAGGACTTGGCTACTACTTCAGTGTAACTTCTCTGGTATGAAGGTTTTTTCCCCCTTCAGGATGATTTTAGTTTGCAATTCAAAGAAAGATCTGAGTGGAAATCATTACCTGAACATAATCTCTTAGCATTTCAAGCCACTGAAGACATTATTTGAATGTCTTTGTAGCACAAAGCTAGCATTTTAATGTACACATCCTAAAGAAGAGTCTATCATTAACTAAAATGGCATCTTATTTCTAAGAGCCTTAATCTTCACTATATTGAAAGGTTTCTTAGTACCAAGGCATGCTCTCATTCCTTTCTAAGTCTCACACAGACAATAAAGCAGGGAAAAAGGGGCTCGGTTACACCTGATGTGTGTAGCAACTGGTGAGTGTTTTATTGCTGTCTCAATGCAGATGAGAAGCTTTGCACAGATTTAATTCAGGATTCAATCTGCACCAGCTCGGTTTGTTTTGAGGTCAGAAACAAAGGCTTTTAGCTTCTCTGGCAGCTGTTATCACAAGGTTTGGGAGCCTCTGGTCTAGACAATAAACCCACCTGGCTACTGAGCTACTTCCTCCTCACAACAGCCACTGTGATGGCCAGGAAGTGGAGAGAGATTTATTGCATTCTGATAAACACTGCCTGTTCTGAAGGCCAGGCTGCTGGCTGTTTACTTTCCTCTTCTGCAATATGCTCTTCAGCCATTGTTTTCTGAAGTGGGGCTGGATTTGTGGCCCATAAGGTGGACAATGCAAGCGAGTTAAAATAACTGAGAGAAAAGCGGGGGGGGGGGGGGGGGGAATAAACCAGCTTGGTTAAAACATGGTAGATCTAACCCAGCTGGCTCATATGGGTCACCACTGCAACAAGCAGGTGAGCAGCCCCAAAAGAACACAAGATGCACTTTGCAATGCACTGCCCTGCAAAGAGAAATGCTGCACTCTCAAGGGGTATTTGACTCTTCTCCTTTTGCACAGAAGATAAAGAATTGCCCAAGTGGGGTTTCCTAAAGCGCATTTGTCTTGAAGGGAGGTTTACCACAAAAGAGATGCTGACTTTTCTGGAATGCCTTCAAGTGCTGTTTTGTAAATAACCTTCAAGTCACATCCTGCTTCAAAAAGAGGCAACTTTTACCACAGGGTCTGAACAAAATCAGAAGCAGCTTTCATGCTGAACTTGGTGACGAGTTCACCGAGAGCTAGACATAAATGCTTTAAATAATAGGACAAGTTTCCGGAGGGCAAATGAATACCCCTGTTTCATACACCCATTTTCCCACCTGAACACAGGCAGGTAGACAGATTCCTGGCCATTATACTCCTTAGAGTCTCAAGTCCTGAAAACCTAAACCTGATTTTATGCAACTTTGACCCATAAATGCCAGAAGGAAGTTCTGCTCTAATGCTCTAACTGAAAGACTCCAGTGCTTTGGAAAAAACACAGTGTCTGGACGGAATAAACCTCTCATTTGTAAATGGCATTTTTACATTACTCACAGAATTCAAAGCAGCTGCTGGAGGTTGGGAGAAGAGTCAGAAAAGCCTCTCATTTTGGCAGGAGCTAGAAGTAGTTTTGCAAGAAACTCACAACTGAACAAATAAAACCAGCAGAGGTTTTAGAAGGTCAGTTTGAAGCCTAATTCCATATTGCTAAGCTTTTAAATAAGCTTTTTCATACATACGTCCGCACAAGCTGTCCAAAGCATTTAAACCATAATGCTGCTACCCTGGAAAACATCACTAACTAACACATGACGTTACTGAACTCACACATAGAATCACAGAATGGTTTGGGTTGGAAAGGACCTTAAGGTCATCCAATTCCAGCCCCCCTGCCATGGGCATTGACACCTCACACTAAACCATGTCACCCAAGGCTCTGCTCAACCTGCCCTTGAACACCGCCAGGGATGGAGCATTCACAACCTCCCTGGGCAACCCATTCCAGTGCCTCACCACCTGTACAGTAAAGAACTTCTTCCTTATATCCAATCTAAACTTCCCTGTTTAAGTTTGAACCCGTTACCCCTTGTCCTATCACTACAGTCCCTAATGAAGAGTCCATCCCCAGCATGCCTATAGGCCCCCTTCAGATACACTGCAAAGACAATGATATTTTAAAATGTGCTTAGAGGGTTGATCCAAACCCTGTTAGAAGCCTAATCCTTGCTATCAGGAGTGTAACATGCTTAGGACTATTGACCTTCCCACAATCAATTCATACATGTTCTTTCTAGTTGAGAGTACTAAATATTGCACAGACATGAACAGAACAACCTTTACTTAAAGAAGCTGCTATATAACCCTGTTTCAGAATCCAACAGCACTTAATTCTTGCATTCTAGTTATCCTTTTTTCAGTCTCCAGCCTTTGAATTATTGCCTAAGATAACTAAGGCAGGATAATCTACTTGAGTGCCCCGAGTACCTATGACTCTTGCCGTGATGGCTGCTGCACCAGTGAGCCTGGTGGGTTACTTCTCTGCTAAAGATCAGGGGCCTCTGGTGGCATTACAGACTTGTCAGCTTCCTATAAGGACTGCTGGTAACCACGTGTTCTGGACTCTCCTACAAGAAGAAACTGGATTGAGTAGGGTGGATGGAAGCATGGTATTGATTGGTGTAATATGGTGTAATAATAATAATAGTGTCATAATAATAATGGTGTAATACCTTCCAGTGGAGAAAAGGGGACCCCTCAAGAGCAGGCAGTAACTTCTATTCACTAGCACAATGTATTCTATAGTTTTATCTCATCTTCTGCAGATAACTGAAGGAGCCAGGCTGCTGGGCATCTAGTTCACATATGGCTGCCACCAGTACAGACAGACAATGCTGTGGTTGTATTCAGCAAGGACTACACAGTCCCATCCCTGAATGTGGCTGCTTATTCCCAGCTCGAGCTCACAGTCTCACACGGTGCCAGTGAGAGCTGCTGCTGAGTTTAGGAATGTTTTTTTCCTCACCTTCATCCCACTTTTATGCAGCCACAAGCACTTCTTTGTTAAACAAGACCCACTGTCATTTCACGTTCACTCTTACTTACTAAATATCTTTTGTTATTTTGGGTCTGTAGGGCTGTACTGAAATGTAATGGTAACAAACAGCACGGGATTTACATGAACTGCCTTCCTGCAGCCTGCCTACAGGACCCTTTACTTGGGAACAGGTAACACAACATTCTTTTATGCAGGCGATACACAGATGTATTTCCTTTGAGCTTGCACAGTTCCAGCTTGACCTTGCTGGGGACCATACTGAGACAAAGCCTGAAAGATTCACTTACTTCAAAGACATACAGCTCAGGCCTCTAAGCACAACTCAACTTGCAAGAAGCAGACGTCCTGGAAGCAACCCAAATGTCTTATCTGCAACTCTGAGGAACGCTTGTGAAGCACTGAGAGAACTCAAGATGAAAACACTGTGTCCCTGTCCCTGCTCGTGGCAGGGGGTTGGAACTGGATGATCTTAAGGTCCCTTTTTACCCAAACCAGCCTGGGATTCTACAAAACACGCACAAATATTGCGGCACTTTCCCTAGACTCCAATTCCTCTCCCAAGCCGTTTTTCTTTCTTGTTGTGAATGTAAATGCAGCCAGAAGTATGTGGAAAACATCTGCCCATTCCATCCTTAGCTGCCCATTTTGAAGGAGCTCTCCTCTCACATGCTGAAGCACAGACAAGTGGCCAATCCAGCTGTGGCAGGTGTGTCCATTTAATCCGTGTGCCAAAAGCAAAACCTGACCTCTGGCCACCTCGAAATCTCTGTTATTTGGCTTCAGTATTGCATTTACTCAGTACACTGCTACAGTATACAGGATGATTCCAGCAAAAGCTGCAGAAGATCATGGGAGGGTCCTGACACTGCACAACATATTCCTGCACAAGAGACCAATTTGAAGCTGTAGAGATTGAGAAACTGAAGCAAGATCCAGTCACTTTTGGAATTCTTAACACAGGTAAGTCCATGCCTCAGTGCAGAAATACTGATATGTGCATGCAAACTGCAGAATTTCTCCATCTTCCCTTTCCTGTCCAAGTTTTGACTCTGTAATACAGACAGCACACTTCAAGTGGGAGCAACCTCATGGATGGGATAACATCTTTCTGTTTTACTTCTTCAGTATCTGCCTGGCTTGCAGCTTCCACAGACACACTGCCAAACATTAACATTTATTATGAGTCTTGACTTGGATCCAAGTCCCTGACAGCTCTCCCACATGGTCCATGATATCTGCTTATACTCTGTTTGACAAGTTATCATTGCTTTCACATCTTTTCCCTATTATGTTCCTGGTTTTGTTCCATATCACATACTGAAAGAGCAGCCTCCCCCATCTCACAAAAAGCAAACTCATCTTTCTATTGTATCCCCTAAAATGTTACTTAAAAAGGGAATATAAGGATCCCTTAAAGCCTTATATAGGCAGCCATCAAAACTGAAGGGAAGAATATAGTGAGTCCCTACAGGTCACTCTGCCCCTGACAGACCTCCCCCCGTTTCTCTCCTTATCTCCTCTTTAAAGGTGTGATTTGATAAAAGCCTTTTGATGACATGAAAAAAACCCCAAACCAACAAACATATGGATTCTCAGGAACAAACCAACCAACACCACAGCGAAACAGCACGAGAGAGTCATGACCTCCCAAAGAACGCTCACGTTTTGCTCGGAACGCAGGGAATATGCACGTTCACTGTGAGAAGAGCTTCCAGGAAAGCAGTCAAAATGAAAGTGCAACTCCCTTCCAGCTGAGGGTGTGGTGCTGGAAGACAACATGCAATATCAGAGCGATTCAGACCATTCCACCAGAGCACATCTCACTCGCAGTACCTGCTATTAGCCTGCTGACAAAAGAAGGTTAGTTTTGCTTTCTTATTCACTGCTCTTTATATTGTGATATCTTGTGTATACAGAGGAGAGCTAGGGTTTACTTAGTGAAATGACGTTTCTCTGTAAAGCCAACTTAACTAAGGCACATGCTCATTTCCAGTTTAACAGAACTGTTCAGTAGATGATTGGAATGCTGCTTAATTCACTGAAATACAAAAGCTGTCTGTTTAAATTGGGGATATTAACTCGCTTCAATGTGTAGACATACAATCCCCTGTGAAGTTTAAACACACAGAAACAATGAATTTGTATGTAACTGGAAGGCTGGAATAATTCTGCAAGAAAACATGCAAAGCTGCCTGTTAATATATCTATTAATGTGCCTCCCAGAGAACAGCACCTGGTAACAAACAGCTTGTGAGCTGTTTGGGTACTTGTGCATCGTTCTGCATGTGATAAGATTCTTTCCTACGTGTAACATCCCGAGAAGTCTCCAGCTGTAAAACGCAACGTACCCACAGCAATTTGATTCTTAAGGAATTCCATGTGGGAATTAAGGTGGCTGTATGTGGGACAGAGACTCAACTAAGCTTATCCCACTACTGCTCAGCACCTGACTCCCATGGGACTGCTCTGCTCTATGTAAAAGCATGTATAGCTGTGCCTGAGAAACAACATTAACAGGAATGATAAATAGGAACAGGTATGCTACCCAAAACATGTTTTTAAGGGGAAAATATCAACTGTTGCATTTTAGATAACTTTGTTTCTGTCAAAATCCCAGGTCAGACAAAAGCCTGTCAGGCAGCTGCACATGTTCCTCGTTGCAGCCAAACTGCTTTGTGATCCGCAGCTGCCTTGACAGTCGCACTGAAACATTTAGTGTTTTGCTTTCAAGCCAATTTGCCAGGGGGGCAATTTGATTAAGCATTCCCAGGTGGGTTCTGTAATAAGTGTTTTAGACCAAAACCAAACCTTTCATCTTGGCTAAGTGGCTTAAGCCTTCCCTGCAGCAGTTTCTTGTCTGATGCATTTGCTGCTGATGTCTGAATCTCTATTCCAAGTACCATAAAGCTGCAAAAGATTACCCCAGCTGAAAAATCCAGCTTGTTAGGCATAGAATAGACATCCCCTGCCCGAGTCCTGAGTTACTGTGGTTTTCCATTCTGCACACTTTATTTAGGCAACAGTAAATGACAGATTACAAGACTTAAAACAGGAGTAATCATTGTTTAAAGTTTATCTGAGGAAGTGTTTTGAAATGCTGACAAAATAATCTAACGGCCATTAGGGATGAAGCCAAATGAAGCAGTTAATTTCTAACAGACTCTTTGAAAAATGTAGATGGGGGGGGGGGGGGGGGGGGAATCAAGGAATCAAGGAAAACCAGAAATTATTCATTTCTATTTATTGGTCTGTATTCCTGACTGTGAGCTCAATCAGTACCTTACTTTTCCTGGTAGATAGAATACACAAGACGAAATTTGAAGAGATCCTGTTTATAACAAAGGTTTGGCAAGCCTTCATGTAAAACTTGTCTAAAAACCAGAAATAGTATCTGGAGATTTTTCAAGCTTGAAAAAGCCAAACTGCAGCTTTCAGTAACAATGGCCTGGCATTCTGAAACACTGAGAGGATGAGAAAGGAAGATGCGCTTTTCATTCTCAGCTCCTTTTTGCTACTGCTGTTAGGAAATCTTAATCCCATTTATTGCAAGAAAACAAGGCAGTGCAGGACTGTAGTTTACAACAGAAAGAATTTCATCAAATCAGTCAATGAACACAATTACAGGAAAACAAGAAAACACTGTAGGACGTGACTTGCTGGAGACACAATCATACAAACACTCCAACTTCAACCCTAAACTGGCACTGAGAATACAGCCTTAGTGTTTACAGGGTAAATGTGTCATGAGAGAGTACTTGTAAGAGCAGCAGTGCTTCTGAGCTGTTTGGGTACTTGCGGGCAGTTTAGTATGTGGTAAGATTCCTTTCTTGTCATAACATCCTGAAAAGTCTCCAGCTGGAAGATGCAGCATACCCACAGCAATTTGATTCTGGAAGGAATTCCTTGTGGGCATGGCTCACTTGGTGTGGGATGGAGACTAAACTAAGCTTGTTCTGCTGCTCTTTAGCAACCACCACCGCTGCTGTGCTTTATGTAATGGGCATGTATACATATGTGTGCCTGAGACACGTAAGTATACATGCCCACTCTTCCTATATTATACTCATACCCCAAATTTGCCAAAATTTATGACAGTAGACCCAGAATCCTACTGCTTTCCTCTCAGCTTTAGTCTGTTAGTATTTCTTATCCACTCTATTGTAACAGCATTTACAGCCTCCAACTGATAGTCAGCTTTGAAGAGGCTATAAAGATGGTGTAATTTCAACCCTATAAAGGTAAAAACAGATTCATTTTGCAGTGGAATACTGTCAAACACAGCCGAGTCAGTGCAGTTTAAGCAATGATGGCTCTTAAACTGAAATGTGGAAACCAGTGAGGTGCACTCAAAGCACCTTGCAATCTCAAATGCTAAGTTTAATGAAAACATTTCAGTTGAATCCATTTTACTTTGTATTGCATAGACAAGACTCACTAAGAGATTCTCAGACTGGTTAGGGTTGGAAAGGAGCTTAAGATCATCCAGTTCCAACCTCCTGCCACAGGCAAGGACACCTCACACCAGACCAGGCTGCTCCAAGCCGCTGGAGCAGCTTCTCTGGGCACCCTGTGCCATCGCCTCAGCATCCTCACAGGGAAGAACTTCTGCCTTAGATCTAACCTGAACTTCCCCTGTTTCAGTTTGAACCCATCACCCCTTGTCCTATCGCTACAGTCCCTGATGAAGAGTCCCTCTCCAGCATCCTTGTAGCCCCTTCAGACACTGGGAGGTGCATGTAGTCAGTTACCCTATTTTGTGCCTCCATCATGGTCTAGCTCTACTTTGATTATTCAAAAAAGTACTCTCAATATCCAACTTTTTTAAACTTGAACCAGGGGTCCTTTAACTTCTTTAAACCCTGAGTAAGGGGGTTAGGTTTCAACAGAAATGTTAAAATTTAAACCAGTATTATTCCTCTGGTGTTCCCTTCCCCTGCTTTTTTTGTGTGTGTCTTGTAGCTTTGCCATGGGCTGGGATCTGAATAACTCAACTGATTACTGGATTGAGGATGAGGAGGATGATGTCAACTCAGTTATAGATTACGATACATACGAGCTTCTCTGTGAAAAAAGTGATGTGAGAAACTTCAGTAAAGTATTCCTCCCCGTGTTCTATGCACTGGCTTTCACCCTTGGAGTTGCTGGAAATTCATTAGTGGTTGCAATTTATGCCTATTGCAAGAAACCGAAGACTAAGACAGATGTGTACATCATGCATCTAGCCATTGCGGATCTGCTCTTGCTCTTTACACTCCCCTTCTGGGCTGCAAATGCAGTGCAGGGGTGGGAACTTGGAAACTCAATGTGCAAGCTTGCTTCTTCCTTGTACACCATGAATTTCAGCTCTAGCATGCTGTTCCTGGCCTGTATCAGTGTGGATAGATACAAGGCCACTTATGAATCCAGGGGTCACAGAAGAATTGGTCAACACTGCAGTGTTACCTGCATCTGTGTCTGGCTGACTGCCATTTTCCTCAGTATCCCTGAACTGATATTTAATCAAGTCAAGAAACACAATGACAGGAACGAATGCTTTCCAGTATTTCCAAAGAACATGGAAACGCTCTTAAAAGCAACCATTCAAATCCTGGAAGTTATCCTGGAATTTCTGCTTCCTTTCCTAGTAATGCTGATCTGCTATTCAGCTACTGCTCGAGCTATCTTTAGATCTGCAAGTGCTAAAAAGTCTCGACCTTTCATGGTCCTGCTGGCAGTAGTGACTACTTTCATTATTACCCAGCTACCTTACAACATTGTCAAGTTCTGGCGAGCCACAGATATCATCTACATGTTGATCACTGACTGTGAGACAAGTAAAAGCATAGATGTTGCACTCCAGGTCACCAAGAGCATAGCTTTGTTTCACACTTGCCTGAATCCTCTTCTCTATGTCTTTCTGGGAGCCTCTTTTAAAATGCACATTATGAAAATTGCAAAAAATTATGGATACTGGAGAAGACAGCAACAGAATGGAAGACCTGAAGAGATTTCTATGAATTACGAAGACCATACTGAAGAAACAACTAGTTTCACTATATAGACTCTCCACGGCTTTCATTATCATCTTATGTAACCAAGGGAATTATTTACTAGTATTGATTATAACAACTACTACTATTGTTATACAAAGGTATTGTTTCAGCAGCTGTTTCTCTGCAAGTCAACTTTCACATGACTTCCTGAACGTGCAGACCAGCCAAGTCACTACAGAGCAGTTCAAAGTGGAACATCCTGATCAAAATGAAGCATCAGGCAAGAACTAAATACTGAAATTGCTAGAAACAAGTGGAAATACAAGCTAGAGGATGACCAACTTGCACATGCCTAAACATCTAATTAAAACAGAAACCATCAGCAATAAAGCAGCAGTACAGGACCATTTGTACCAGAAGTTCATAATCTTGTGTCTTCCCAGCTCTTTTGTAAAATAGATGGAACATTTGCCTAATAAATCAGTTCCATTTCTTTCCTCAGCTATCATTCCATAGATAGCCTTGCAGCTTGAATTGAGGTCTAAGTTCATGGCTGAGAACTGGGAAGGGGAGACATTCTCTATGTGTTTCCAGATATGTATAGTCACAACAACATCCTCCACAAAACCCAGTAACTACCAAAACTAACCTTTCACGTCTCTTGTTTTGCTCACCCTAAACATCCACAACGCCAGTGCCCTATGGGAGGCACATTCTAGATCTCTGTAAATGCCAAAGCAGTGCAGTCCAAGCATTAGCACAAATGTAAGAAAAAGTTAAGTTAATCTTCAGATACAGGGCCTGGAATTTCTAGTCACACTTTGTAAAATGAATCGAACACCGCCATAACTGTATCTACTAAAACAGATGGAGATACAATAAAATCAAAGAATCCAGAATGTGCACCGCCTTTCATTTATTCATATATGTTTGGCTTGGTTTAATGGGCATTGACATCTCTCATCATGGTCATTTATCAACCAGAAATGGCTCAAGGCCTTGGCTGATGGATGAGAGAGGTTCTGACTCCATACGGAGCTCATACTCAGTAGGATTTAGTTGGAGAGTTTTTCCATGGAGAGTTCCCAAAGCTGTCCCCTGCCACATTGCTGGCTTGGATTCCAGGAAAACAGCAGTTTTCCATGAGTCTCTGGGAGCATTTCAACTATATACAGATATATTAGCTTCCAAATGAACAGCGGTATTACAGCATACAGCCCCTGTCTTCAAACATCCCGTGGGCTCTGACAACATGCCCGAGCTATGGATTACAAAAGCCAACAAGAATCTCTCATTTTTAGACATTGTTCCTAGTTACAAAATTAGGGACTGGAAGAAGAAAGCTCCAAAAGGACAGAGAAGAAACAACAGTAGCATAAACAAGCCACGAGCCTCCCCTCTGTTTGGATGAGAAAAGCTAACCGAATTTCTGCCCAGTATTTTGCGAAATACTAGGGTGTGAACAGATAAAGTCAGAAGTGCTTGGCAGATGGTCTACACATACACAATGAATCTGAGATATTTAAACCAGGGTTAATACGTTTAGGGTTAGCGCTTTACTGTAGATGTGCAGAGCATAGGAAGAAACTTCGGTTCTTCCACAAGGCAACCGGCTCCTTGCATGTGTGATATATGACCTGTCTTCACAAACACAGACTGGTTGCAGCCAGAATGACACTGTGACCAATGCCAAAAAGCAAACCCACCCAAAATATCAGCTGGGCAGAAAAGGAGGCTGCCTAACACAAAGCTGTGTGTATGCGTTTCTTAAACCTCTTGAAACTGCAATGCCTTGTGTCTTTATGCAAATGTGACTGTCCCAATTACTTTTATTAGCAATCAGATAAACCATGCTTACTCTTCTGTTCACTGTCCTTTTTATAATTTGTGTAACTCATTTTATGAATAATATTTTGTGTGTGTAACCTCCTAGAAACTTTGCCATTGCTTCCTTAGGAACTGCAATGCACCTTTGGGAGACGCTCACCCCAAGCAAAGGTAGCAGCCAGCAGTTAAGTCACACTCTGAGAGACACAAGATACCACGCTCCCTTCTGCCACCGGTTTTGCAGTGCTAGAAAAGACAGACAGTCCTATCTTCTGGTGATTCCAGGTACTGCACCAGCATGTATCGGTAGGCAGCTGATACACTCAAAAGTACATCAATGAAACATTCAAGTTTCACTCCAGTTAACACCTCAATTTAGTTGGCTTCCAAACGTCCAGGGAATGATGATTTTCAAGTTGCTGTCACATATCTTGTGGTAAAAAAGCAACAGTACTACAATATCAGGGACATTTACCACTTACCACTGTTTTTTTTCTGGGAAGTATAGTATGAAATGCAAGAAAATCACCTGCAACAGTCAGTCCAACAGCATAACAGGCTAGTTTTAAAAAGCAATCAAATCTTACTGTAACTACACACACACAAGCTCCTGAGACAGCTACATAAAAAAAAGGTATAAAGGTTACAGTCATAAACATTTAAGTGACCTGATGGACAGAGGTAACATAAAGTAAAATAGTAGCCTTAATTCTGTGAACAAAATTCATAGGTTCCAAAAAGAGCCCCAAACCCCAAACTGGATTTGAGTCTCTGATTTTGCTTTGTAGAACAAAAGCTTGATTCAGCTCATTCTTTTTTACATCCTGTTGCTTTTACTCAAGAAGAGACAGTTTTCCATCTCAAAAATGATGCATATTTTTGGTTTATTAGTTCCTGGAAAGAATTTTAGACATTCTTATTTAGGGTTTCTGTACTTACCACTGCTCCACCACTTCTTGCCATTTATCACATAACTGTTTCCATCTCGTTCAATGCTGCACTGCATATTGGTGGCATCACTTGAAGCCACATCAGGTTCTGTGTTAAAGAAAACACCAAAACCAAAGCACGATTAAACACACAGGTAGTACTACCTCCACAAACATAAGGCTCTAGATATACCCTGTTGACAGTAACACTGTTTTGCTCCCAGTAGAAAAGCTGTTTTCGGAACCTCACCCTGCTGGTGGTTAAAAAGCCACCTTCCTACATCAAGAGCCAGGCCTTCCAGAGATGCTCAATGCTTTCAGAATTGAAACTAATGCTAAGCTACAGACGTAAAGTAAGTACATCATATGTTTTGCAAGTTATCTTCACGTTATGTTTTAAAACCTCTACCTATAACATACTGCAAAACTACACAAATCTAATCACAATAATCATACTTGTACCTAATTTATGTTGCCAGAGAACCCCAAAGCACATTAAAAAGAAAGGATAAGTTCTATTGTAAACCTGTTTGGTACAAAAAAAGAAAGAAGAAGTATTTTTCTGGGAAAAAAGATAAACTGAAAATATATGTAAAGCAAATACTAGTCATTGTAACCATGAAAAACCCTAACTACTGGGGAAGGGCAGCAAGCCTTCTTCACTTTGCCTCCTAGATGGTTTTATATTCAAACACATTCACAGATGCAGTGGGGATTGCTGTATTAATTCATTAACACATGCCAACTTGTAGTTCTATACTTTTTGCACATGCCATGTGAAATGTCTGCCCACTAACTTTCTTCTGGGGAAAAATTTACCTGTCATGCAGAAGCAAGAACTAATCCTCCCTTCTAGGAGAGGCTCCAGCCACTCTTTCTTTTGCTCTTCCGTCCCATACATGTGCAGGACCTCCATGTTCCCAGAGTCTATAAGAAATCAGCAGACATTTACTTTGGGAGACATACAACTCCTAAGGCATAAGATGCCCAACTTTTTAATGCTCTCAAGTGGTTTTGATACAGAACAGGACTGCTGACCTGGAGCATGACAATTGAAAACCTCAGGAGCAAAGAAGCATTTCCCAGTCTCCTCAGCTATTAGCGCGTAGTCAAGCTGGCTGAGACCACTGACATCTGGGAGAAAAAGGTTCCACAGACCTTCTGCTTTGGCCATTTCCTGTTGAAAGAATCAACAGAGAAAAACATCAACAATAAATTTAAAGCAAATAAAAAATTCTGGCTTGCTGCCTGTTTTGTTCCTTCCTGCCTAACACACTGTCCAAAATACCTCATGCCTATTTTCCACAGCTCTTTTCAATAGCTACAATCTTTGACTTACAATTCAGACATATCCCTCACAGAACCCACTTTTGCTTTGCTCCTCTCTCATTCGTATCTCTCACCTTCTTTTGACACTCCTTTCTTCCTTTCCTTTCACTGTTCTCACACTGTTTCTTTCCATATGGAGTAGCTTCTCTAGCAGGATATGCCAAACATTCTTACACTCTGTGTCAATGCCTGTTTCTTTTACTGCTAGAGTTCTCAAGTATATTTATTATCCCATACCTTCAGTTTCTCAAGCAGTGGTGGTTTCTTCCATTTTAGCTCAGTACTTCCATGCCCAGCATAGTATGCTATTATTTCCTTAGAGAAACAATTAAAAAGATATTGTTTAAATGAAGAACACATGTAACATACACAAGTAATAACATGATGTCTTTTCCAGACCTATACCCCAAGAAACCAGTAAAAATATTCAACAGGTTTTATTATATAGTTGCTTGCAATCTATTTATTTTGTAAGACTTTAAATGCATCATGGAGATGATCCCAATCAGCTCCTTATTTCATACAGGGAATCGATTTGGGGTGGTTTAAAGCATGTGATGATGACATTAGTGTCAGTGTTTTCTGGTGATACAACTGTTACCAATGGTATGCATAAGAGGCATGAACCCTAAAGTAAAACAACAAATAAAAGCCTGATGCACTAACACTTCAGGTTCAGGTTTTCCATCATAACATTCACATATGTAAGCCAATTAATCTTTTTTTAACTGAGAAAAAAGCCAAACACCAAAAACCCCACGAATAATACATTTTATTTTCTTGTCAAAACAATTCCTAACAGGTTATGTAAGCAGTCATTCTGAACTAAGTAAAACTGTCTATGCAGTTAACCCAAGTATTTTCACAAGCGTGTTTCAGTGAGGCATGAAGCTGGCCCCTGGCCCAGAACTACTTTTGGAGTGCATACAAGTAGTGCCCTCTTCTGAAAACCACACAGTAAGACAAGTTCCCAAGTAGAATTTCTAAGTCCTGATCCACAAGTTATCAGAAATAACTTTGGAGCACAACACTACTCACCTGCAAAACTTGCATGGCTATTTGTGGTTGGCTTGGTTTTAAAGTGAGTGCTTTAATTATAGCAAGGCTTCCTTGGAAAATCCAAAACTAACTACAAATAGGCCTTCAGGAAACTTTGCATATCAAGAGTTTCTGCTCCCACTCCCTCCTTGTGACAGGCAGATGCCTCCATACATCTTTCACGTTATCTGCGCTTCTGCCTGACTGCAAAAAAAACAAGGAAAAAACCCACCAAAAGCCAAAAATCCTAATTCTGCAACACAAGCAATCTGTGCTTCCATTAGGGTGGAAGCTGAACCAAACTTTCCAAGTAGAATATTTCTAATATCCCTAAGTTAAGAATTAAAATGCTTCACCTCATTTTTCCTTCCACTAATTAAGGACTTTTGTAGATATGTTATTATCCAATTTCAAACCTTCACTGATATCAGATATATACAGGAATGAGGCTAAATTGATACACTGTGGAATCCCATTTTTTGATAGAATTCACACCTTAAAAATAAGGCAAGAAACAGAAACATTCATCCTTGTATGGTTAAAACCAGCAGTTTCCACTTTTTAAGCATCTTTCTATTTAGTATGCAAGAGTTTTAGGGGTTTGTGAGTGGGAAATGTCTTCTGGCAAATACCTCCGAACAGTAACTCTTTTAAAAAAGGAATAGTTCATGAACTTTAAAAGGTTTTGAAAGTACCTCAGTTTTATTCACAACACAGACAACATTTGAATTCTGAAAAAAGGAAATGCTATACTCTCTAAAGATTTCTGCTAATAT